TCCCCAAAAATCCTGAAAAAAACCCAAAAACTCCCCAAAAACTCCCCAAAAATCCTGAAAAAACCCAAAACCACCCCAAAAATCCTGAAAAAAACCCAAAAACTCCCCCAAAAATCCTGAAAAAAACCCAAAAACTCCCCAAAAATCCTGAAAAAAAACCCAAAACTCCCCAAAAATCCCAAAAAATCCCGGAAAAAACCCCAAAAACTCCCCAAAAATCCCGGAAAAAAACCCCAAAAAACCCCAGAAAAATCCCCAAAACCTCAAAAAAATCCCCAAAATGCCCAAAACCAAAAAAAAACCCCAAATCCCAAACTCCAAATTCCCCCAAAAACCCCCAAAAATCCCAAACTCCAAAACCCCAAAAATCCCTAAAAAACTCCAAAAATCCCCAAAATCCCTAAAAAAAAACCCCAAAAATTAAAAAAAAAAATCCCAAAACCTTAAAAAAACCTGAAAATCCCAAAAAACCCCAAAAAACCCCAAAAACCCCAAAAACCCCAAAACCCCAAAATCCCAAATTTTTTGGGATGTTCCAGGGGGGAAATTTGGGGGAAAATTTGGAGTTTTTGGGGTTTTGGAGTTTGGGGTTTTTTGGGGAGGTTTTGGGATTTTTGGGGATTTTTTGGGGTTTTTTGGGGTTTTTTGGGGGTTTTTTGGGGTTTTTTGATTTTTGGGATTTTGGGGTTTTTGGGGGGGTTGGGATTTTTTGGTTTTTTGGGATTTTTTTGGGGTTTTTTGGTGTTCTTTGGGGTTTTTTGGGGTTTTTTGATTTTGGGGATTTTGGGGTTTTTTGGGGGGGTTGGGATTTTTTGGTTTTTTGGGATTTTTTGGGGATTTTTTGGGTTTTTTTTTAATTTTGGGGGATTTTTTGGGTTTTTTTTTAATTTTGGGGGATTTTTTGGGTTTTTTTTTAATTTTGGGGGATTTTTTGGGTTTTTTTTTAATTTTGGGGGATTTTTTGGGTTTTTTTTTAATTTTGGGGGATTTTTTGGGTTTTTTTTTAATTTTGGGGGATTTTTTGGGTTTTTTTTTAATTTTGGGGGATTTTTTGGGTTTTTTTTTAATTTTGGGGGATTTTTTGGGTTTTTTTTTAATTTTGGGGGATTTTTTGGGTTTTTTTTTAATTTTGGGGGATTTTTTTGGGTTTTTTTGGGTTTTTTTTTAATTTTGGGGGATTTTTGGGTTTTTTGGGGGATTTTTTTGGGTTTTTTGGGGATTTTTAGGGTTTTTTTTGGGTTTTTTTGGGATTTTCTTTTTATTTTGGGGGATTTTTTGGGTTTTTTGGGGGATTTTTTAGGGGTTTTGGGGGTTTTTTGGGTTTTTTTTTAATTTTTGGGGATTTTTGGGGTTTATTTGGGAATTTTTAGGGTTTTTTTGGGGTTTTTTGGTTTTTTTTTTAATTTTTGGGGATTTTTGGGTTTTTTGGGGGATTTTGGGGGTTTTTGGGTTTTTTTTGGGGATTTTCTTTTTATTTTGGGATTTTTTTGGGTTTTTTTGGGGATTTTTTAGGGTTTTTTAGGGTTTTTTGGGTTTTTTTTATTTTGGGGGATTTGGGGGGATTTTTAGGGGTTTTTGGGGTTTTTTTGGTATTTTTTTTAATTTTTGGGGATTTTTGGGTTTTTTTGGGGCATTTTGGGGGTTTTTGGGTTTTTTTGGGGATTTTCTTTTTATTTTTGGGAATTTTTGGGGTTTTTTTGGGATTTTTAGGGTTTTTTTGTGTTTTTTTGGGATTTTTTTTTTAAATTTTTGGGGATTTTTGGGGTTCTTTGGGGGATTTTTAGGGGTTTTTTGGGTTTCTTTGGGATTTTTTTTATTTTTGAGGATTTTTGGGGTTTGGGGGGGATTTTTTGGGGTTTGGTTTTTTTTGGGGGATTTTCTTTTTATTTTTGGGGATTTTTTGGGGATTTTTTGGGGGGATTTTTTTGGGTTTTTGGGATTTTGGGGTTTTTGGGGGGGGTTTGGATTTTTCGGGGTTTTTTGGGGATTTTTTGGGGGAATTGGGATTTTTTGGGATTTTTTGGGTGGGTTTTTTTTATTTTTTGGGGGTTTTTTTTATTTTTTGGGCTTTTTTTTGTTTTTTGGGATTTTTTGGGGTTTTTTTGGGTTTTTTGGGATTTTGGTTTTTTTTGTTTTTTATTTTTGGGTGTTTTTTTTTTTGTTTTGTTTTGTTTTGTTTTTTTGATTTTGGGTTTTTTGGGGGCTTTTTGGGGTTTTTTGGGATTTCTTTTATTTTGGGGGATTTTTTTGGGTTTTTTGGGATTTCTTGGGAATTTTTTAAAATTTTTTTTTATTTTTGGGGTTTTTTTTTTGGGGATTTGGGGGATTTTTTTTTATTTTTTGGGGGATTCTTTGGGAATTTTGGATTTTCTGGATTTTGGAGTTTGGGATTTTTTTGGGTTTTCCTGGATATTTTTGGGATTTTGGGGTTTTTTGATGTCCGGGAGTTTTGGAATTGTGAAATTTGGGGATTTTTTGGGGAAGAATTTGGGAATTTTTTGCTTTGTAATTTGAGTTTTTTGGGATTTTTGGGGGGAATCAATCCCAGGGCTGAAATGACAATTTTGGGATGGGATAAAAAATCCAATTTTGGGTCAAAATTTGGGATTTCAGGGAAGTTTTTTTTTTGCAATTCCCCAAAACTTCCCAGAATCTCCCCAAATTCCTGGAATGTCTCCTAAAAAAACCCCCAAATTTTAATTTTTTAGGGAGAATTTTAGGATAAAATTAAAAATAAATCCAATTTTGAGACTACAAAGGTGCTGTTTTTTAAGGGAATTTTGGGGAAATCCCATAAATTTTTGGGATTTGGGGGATTTTGGGGTTTTATCCTGAATTTTTTTGGGGATATTCCCAGATTATCCAGCAGCTCCGGAGCCTGTTCCCGTTTTTTGGGGGAGGATATCAGGGCTGGAAAGATTCCGTGCGCCACAACCTCTCCTCCAACCCCTGCTTCGCCAAGGTTTGGGGGGATTTTGGGGGGATTTGGGGCTTTTGGGGGGTTTTTGGGATTTTGGGGGATTTTTGGGGATTTTTGGGGATTTTTGGGGGATTTTTTTGGGATTTTTTGGGATTTTTTGGGATTTTTTGGGGATTTTTGGGGGGTTTTTTAGGGTTTTTAATTGGGTTTTTATTGGTGGTTTTGGGGTTTTTTTGGGAGTTTTTTTTGGGGATTTTTAGGGGTTTTTTTAGTTTTTTATTGGGATTTTATTGAGTTTTTGGGGTGGTTTTGGGGGGGTTTGGGGGGTTTTATTTCGGTTTTTAATTGGGATTTTTTGGGATTTTTTGGGGATTTTTTTGGGATTTTTGGGGTCTCAATTTGGGGATTTTGGGGGCTCAATTTGTGGATTTTGGGCACTGATTTGGGGATTTTGGGGGCTCAATTTGTGGATTTTGGGCACTGATTTGGGGATTTTGGGGGCTCAATTTGTGGATTTTGGGCACTGATTTGGGGATTTTGGGGGCTCAATTTGTGGATTTTGGGCACTGATTTGGGGATTTTGGGGGCTCAATTTGTGGATTTTGGGCACTGATTTGGGGATTTTGGGGGCTCAATTTGTGGATTTTGGGCACTGATTTGGGGATTTTGGGGGCTCAATTTGTGGATTTTGGGCACTGATTTGGGGATTTTGGGGGCTCAATTTGTGGATTTTGGGCACTGATTTGGGGATTTTGGGGGCTCAATTTGTGGATTTTGGGCACTGATTTGGGGATTTTGGGGGCTCAATTTGTGGATTTTGGGCACTGATTTGGGGATTTTGGGGGCTCAATTTGTGGATTTTGGGCACTGATTTGGGGATTTTGGGGGCTCAATTTGTGGATTTTGGGCACTGATTTGGGGATTTTGGGGGCTCAATTTGTGGATTTTGGGCACTGATTTGGGGATTTTGGGGGCTCAATTTGTGGATTTTGGGCACTGATTTGGGGATTTTGGGGGCTCAATTTGTGGATTTTGGGCACTGATTTGGGGATTTTGGGGGCTCAATTTGTGGATTTTGGGCACTGATTTGGGGATTTTGGGGGCTCAATTTGTGGATTTTGGGCACTGATTTGGGGATTTTGGGGGCTCAATTTGTGGATTTTGGGCACTGATTTGGGGATTTTGGGGGCTCAATTTGTGGATTTTGGGCACTGATTTGGGGATTTTGGGGGCTCAATTTGTGGATTTTGGGCACTGATTTGGGGATTTTGGGGGCTCAATTTGTGGATTTTGGGCACTGATTTGGGGATTTTGGGGGCTCAATTTGTGGATTTTGGGCACTGATTTGGGGATTTTGGGGGCTCAATTTGTGGATTTTGGGCACTGATTTGGGGATTTTGGGGGCTCAATTTGTGGATTTTGGGCACTGATTTGGGGATTTTGGGGGCTCAATTTGTGGATTTTGGGCACTGATTTGGGGATTTTGGGGGCTCAATTTGTGGATTTTGGGCACTGATTTGGGGATTTTGGGGGCTCAATTTGTGGATTTTGGGCACTGATTTGGGGATTTTGGGGGCTCAATTTGTGGATTTTGGGCACTGATTTGGGGATTTTGGGGGCTCAATTTGTGGATTTTGGGCACTGATTTGGGGATTTTGGGGGCTCAATTTGTGGATTTTGGGCACTGATTTGGGGATTTTGGGGGCTCAATTTGTGGATTTTGGGCACTGATTTGGGGATTTTGGGGGCTCAATTTGTGGATTTTGGGCACTGATTTGGGGATTTTGGGGGCTCAATTTGTGGATTTTGGGCACTGATTTGGGGATTTTGGGGGCTCAATTTGTGGATTTTGGGCACTGATTTGGGGATTTTGGGGGCTCAATTTGTGGATTTTGGGCACTGATTTGGGGATTTTGGGGGCTCAATTTGTGGATTTTGGGCACTGATTTGGGGATTTTGGGGGCTCAATTTGTGGATTTTGGGCACTGATTTGGGGATTTTGGGGGCTCAATTTGTGGATTTTGGGCACTGATTTGGGGATTTTGGGGGCTCAATTTGTGGATTTTGGGCACTGATTTGGGGATTTTGGGGGCTCAATTTGTGGATTTTGGGCACTGATTTGGGGATTTTGGGGGCTCAATTTGTGGATTTTGGGCACTGATTTGGGGATTTTGGGGGCTCAATTTGTGGATTTTGGGCACTGATTTGGGGATTTTGGGGGCTCAATTTGTGGATTTTGGGCACTGATTTGGGGATTTTGGGGGCTCAATTTGTGGATTTTGGGCACTGATTTGGGGATTTTGGGGGCTCAATTTGTGGATTTTGGGCACTGATTTGGGGATTTTGGGGGCTCAATTTGTGGATTTTGGGCACTGATTTGGGGATTTTGGGGGCTCAATTTGTGGATTTTGGGCACTGATTTGGGGATTTTGGGGGCTCAATTTGTGGATTTTGGGCACTGATTTGGGGATTTTGGGGGCTCAATTTGTGGATTTTGGGCACTGATTTGGGGATTTTGGGGGCTCAATTTGTGGATTTTGGGCACTGATTTGGGGATTTTGGGGGCTCAATTTGTGGATTTTGGGCACTGATTTGGGGATTTTGGGGGCTCAATTTGTGGATTTTGGGCACTGATTTGGGGATTTTGGGGGCTCAATTTGTGGATTTTGGGCACTGATTTGGGGATTTTGGGGGCTCAATTTGTGGATTTTGGGCACTGATTTGGGGATTTTGGGGGCTCAATTTGTGGATTTTGGGCACTGATTTGGGGATTTTGGGGGCTCAATTTGTGGATTTTGGGCACTGATTTGGGGATTTTGGGGGCTCAATTTGTGGATTTTGGGCACTGATTTGGGGATTTTGGGGGCTCAATTTGTGGATTTTGGGCACTGATTTGGGGATTTTGGGGGCTCAATTTGTGGATTTTGGGCACTGATTTGGGGATTTTGGGGGCTCAATTTGTGGATTTTGGGCACTGATTTGGGGATTTTGGGGGCTCAATTTGTGGATTTTGGGCACTGATTTGGGGATTTTGGGGGCTCAATTTGTGGATTTTGGGCACTGATTTGGGGATTTTGGGGGCTCAATTTGTGGATTTTGGGCACTGATTTGGGGATTTTGGGGTCTCCATTTGGGGATTTTGAGGTCCCAATTTGTGGATTTTGGGCTCTGATTTTGGGATTTTTGGGGTCTCAATTTGGGGATTTTGGGGTCTCAATTTGTGGATTTTGGGCTCTGATTTGGGGATTTTGGGGTCCCATTTGGAGGATTTTGGGGTCTGAATTTGGGGATTTTGGGGTCTCAATTTGTGGATTTTGGGGTTTCAATTTGTGGATTTTGGGGTCTCAATTTGGGGATTTTGGGGTCTGAATTTGGGGATTTTGGGGTCTCAATTTGTGGATTTTTGGGGTCCCAATTTGTGGATTTTGGGCTCTGATTTGGGGATTTTGGGGTCCCATTTGGAGGATTTTGGGGTCTGAATTTGGGGATTTTAGGGTCTCATTCCTGGACTTTCTGGGGTCCCAATTTGGGGATTTTGGGGTCTGATTTGGGGATTTTGGGGTCTCAATTTGGGGATTTTTGGGTTCCAATTTGTGGATTTTTGGGTTCCAAATTTGGAGGATTTTGGGGTCTGAATTTGTGGATTTTGGGGTTTCAATTTGTGGATTTTGGGGGTCTGAATTTGGGGATTTTGGGGTCTCAATTTGTGGATTTTGGGCTCTCGATTTGGGGATTTTGGGGTTTCAATTTGGGGATTTTGGGTTTGAATTTGTGGATTTTGGGGTCTCAATTTGTGGATTTTGGGCTCTCGATTTGGGGATTTTGGGGTCTCAGTTTGTGGATTTTGGGGTCTCAATTTTTGGATTTTGGGCTCTGATTTGGGGATTTTTGGGTTCCAAATTTGGAGGAATTTGAGGTCTGAATTTGGGGATTTTAGGGTCTCATTCCTGGACTTTTTGGGGTCCCAATTAGTGGGTTTTGGGCTCTGTTTTGTGGATTTTGGGGTCCCCAATTTGTTTTTTCGGCTCTCCAGGTGCTGAAGGACCCCTCCAAGCCCCAGTCCAAGGGGAGCCTCACCTGGGGTCCCTCTCTGTGGGGTTTTGGGGGGGATCCGGGACTTTTTGGGGTCCCAGTTTGGGGATTTTGGGGTCTCAATTTGGGGATTTTGGGGTCTCAGTTTGGGGATTTTTGGGTCTCAATTTGGGGATTTTTGGGTTCCAAATTTGGAGGATTTTGGGGTCTGAATTGGTGGATTTTGGGGTCCCATTTAGGGGATTTTGGGGTCCCAGTTTGGGGATCTTGGGTGTCTGAATTTGGGGATTTTTGGGGTCCCAATTTAGGGATTTTGGACTCCTATTCCCAAGGTTTTAGGGTCTTAATTTGTGGATTTTTGGGGTCCCAATTTGTGGATTTTGGGGTCCCAATTTGTGGATTTTGGGGTTTCAATTTGTGGATTTTGGGGTCTCAATTTGTGGATTTTGAGGTCCCAATTTGTGGGTTTTGGGCTCTGATTTGTGGATTTTGGGGTCCCCAATTTGTTTTTTCGGCTCTCCAGGTGCTGAAGGACCCCTCCAAGCCCCAGTCCAAGGGGAATTTCTGGACCGTGGACGTGTCTCGGATCCCCCCGGCCGCTCTCAAGCTGCAGAACACGGCGGTGGCTCGCGGCAGCGCCGGCGTCACCCCCTTCGTCCCCGACCTGTCCCCCTTCATCATCTCGGGGTGCCCCTACCCCCCTTCCCCTCCCCCTCCTCCCCTCCCCGCACCCCAAAATTCCAATTTCTCCATCGATTCCCTGCTCCGGGAAAACCCCGGAGTCTCGGAGCCCAAATTTGGGGCTCGGATTTGGGGGCAGCTGCCCACGTCCTACAGCACGGCCGTGGCCCCCAACGCCGTGGCCCCGCCGGGGGGAGGGGGGACCCCGATTTTGGCTTTAAATTGGGGGGTCCTGCAGCTTCCCCCCCCCCAAAATTTGGGGGAGCCGCGGGTGGGGTCGGATTTTGGGGGGGTGGGGGCGGCGCCCCCCAATAAAAGCGTCTTTGACGTCTGGCTCAGCCACCCCGGGGACATCGCCATCAGGGGGTGATGACGTCAGCGTGGCCACGCCCCCCCCAAAATTTGGGGACACCCCCCCTCCCATAAAAAAAAATTTGGGGGATCCCCCCCCTCCCATAAAGAAAAATTTGGGGGTGGGGTCCCAGCAAATTTCAAATTTCAGGGAAATTCGCCCCAAAAAAAATTTGGGGGTGGAAAGGAATAAAAAAAAATAAATAAATTGGTGCGAAACCCCCCTCCCCCCCCAAATTTGGGGGTTCTGTGACGTCATCGCGGTTTCACACCCTCCCCCTACACACACCCCCCCCCCCCCCCAAAATTTGGGGGGTTTTTTGGTGGGGGGGGGGGGGC